GAATTTTTTTTTGTATTATGGAAGAATTTGTAATAGTAATAGTTACTTTAATATTAGGATATTTTATACTAAATCTGTTTTTACAAAAGCAACTATGTAATTTTTGTTTGTGTGAGTGAAGAATGTGAGCGTTTGTTTTAAAAGAGAGTAGTCTGGAAGTTAGCATTGCATGCAGATGATCAGAGGAGTGGCCAAAGACTTAGAGGCGCAAGGAAACTATCAGATATGTCCACAGTATTCAGTGATGGAGGAGGAGCAAATTGGCAACCCTGAAGTTAGAAGCAAGCACTCCCAGCATGTGAAAATAACAAATCCCATCAAAACCAGGGTGGGGAAACCCCCAGAAAAGTCATCCTCAGACCAATATAAACAACAATAAAAACAATCTCCAGATAAAGATATGTTGGAGAGTGACTAATAACATAAGGCAGCAAAATCCAAAGATTTACGTAAGAAGCAATTCCTATAAAAGATTGTTCTTTGGGTTCCAGTCTGTCAAGATCCTAGAGCATCAGTCTGGACCAACAGAAGTTCAGCTCTTCCCTCGTATGGCCACTAGGTTGATACAAGCAACAGACTGGTATTACCACATCAATAGGACAGGGGTGTGTATGTGTATGCATATACTTTTTACTTTGCATTTTCAATAAACATGGCATATAACCTTTTCCCCTAAAAGGATCCTGTGTGCTTCTGATAAGCATAACATGGCTACACTCTGTATTTTCTAGGTAACACATTATATAATCATAATTTTTTTTTGTAACTCATTTATTGGTATAACCTAGACCAATCAAATGTCATTGCAGGATTTTGGTCATTCTATCAATAGATCAACCAAGCTAACCCAAACTCTAACCAGAGCCTGAATCCCAATGTTGTTAATTCTAAATCATAAGAACATAAGAACGGCCATACTGGGTCAGACCAAAGGTCCATCTAGCCCAGTATCCTGTCTGCCGACAGTGGCCAGCACCAGGTGCCCCAGAGAGGGTGGACCGAAGATAATGATCAAGCGATTTGTCTCCTGCCATCCTTCTCCATTTCTATCCCCTGGCTAATAGCCTTTTATGGACCTAACCTCCATGAAATTATCAAACTTCTCTTTAAACTCTGTTATAGTCCTAGCCTCCACAGCCTCCTCTGGCAAGGAGTTCCACAGGTTGACTACACGCTGTGTGAAGAACTTCCAGGGCCAGAAGTGTGGGAAACATTTTCTTACCTTAATTTTGTTGTGAATAGGCTGTCTCCTGCTGCCTCCTATAAAGATTTACTGTTAAATCAGTGTAGAGTTGAGTTCAGTGTTCATGATCTTCTCCACATGCATTAATATAGTAGTCACACAATGAAAGGAGGGAACAGCAAGGAATATAAAAAGCAAGGAGATGCAGAGCTCTGACTCTTAACTAGAAATAGGGAAATGGTTTAGAAAAAAATAGGATCTTCATCCAAACAAAACTTCATAGCATTTGTGTTAAAAATATCAGACATTTTGAAAATATGTTAACATTATTATGCACTTTCTCTTCAAGTTAGGACTGGAAAGAGCAATATCTGTATCCCAGGAGTAAGAATGAATTAATAGAAGTTTCAGGAGACAGACGATCCTGATGCAATTTGCAGCCCAGTTTTGAGAATTCTGAGAAGGATCCTGATTAGGGTAATTGGATGGGGAATCAAGAAATTTGAGCACTGCTTCCAGCAATGCCATTGAGTTACTGTGGCCTACGGGCAACTCAATTAAACTTCAGTGCCTGAATTTTCCCACCTATAAATGGAGATAATTATAGTTAACTTACCTTGTAAAGTATTTCAAAACTTGTGCAAGAAACATACTTTATAAATGCTAAGTATAGCTTTGCTAAATATTATAGAAAGACAAAACATTTGGCAGTCCACCACTATTCTTGATTTCTGTGCAGCTTTTCATGTGGAAAGATAGCCTAAGAGAAGGTGGGAAGTGGTGATAGGAAAAAGGGAACATTAAATGGGAGAGAAAGGGATGGGACAGAGAGAAAGTGATGGAGGAATAACAATTGCAATAAATTAGATATACAGATCAAATTTGATCCCAAAGCCCATCAGAGAAAAAGAACGGAATCAGATAGAAAAGTAGAGCGAGAAAGGGACAGAGATAAATGAAAAAAAAATCCACATTTGAAGAGAAGAATAAAAACCAACTGTCACAGAAAGACAATTTAAAGGTGACAGGTATGTAATTTTGTTTTAAAGGGAAAGCTAGCCCATAAAGAGATGTTTTTAGATTTAAAAAGTAATTGCCAAATGTTTTCAGTGGTGCCTTTGAGCAGTGTTTCTTTTCAATTCTCTTTTGTTTTTGTAATTTTTTATTTAGCTTTATGGGGTTTCCTTGCTGACACTCTATCAGCTGTCATCGTAATACTAAGTAATGTTGGCCCATCACTGCTCTAGTGGCTATTCGATTTTTTGCCTTGCTGGGGGCAAGTTACTTATTTCTAAGCAATACAGGCCACTATATACTTTAATAGCCATGTAGGCATTTTGGTGATAGGCTAAAGTTTCCACATTGATTTGCAGCACAGAGATGGGCAATTCAGTACCCAAGGTTATAGAGATCATTTTTAAAATGCAAAACCAATGTTGTCACATAGGCGGCACCAAAGAGAACATCTTATAGCATTTGAATGATAGAAAATTCAGCATTGAACTCCAGCCACTGTGTCTAACAGTCTATTTCCTAGTTAATTTACTTTAAACCTAAATAAGTTGAAAAACACTCTCATGTGTAATAGACCACTTCTGGCAACTAGGAAAGGGGACACATATAAGAATATTCTACGGAGTTAAAAAAAAAAAAGAAAGATAAAATTATTCAGATGAAAATGCATAAGGTACTCTGTTGCATTTGGGGTTAAACAGTCCCCTCACCAGCCCTGTAGTTGACACAGGTGCCAAGGACTGAATAAACGAGGTGCAATTATGATGTAAAGGTTGGGGCAGTGTAGAACTCCCTCTCCTTTTATGACAAAGACCTATACACCCGAATAATAGATAGATATTATGAACTATCCAAAGGATAGGAACAGACAATAATTTCCTCTCTGTAGGATGATTCTAATAACATGGAGATTAAGCTCTGTAGGAACCTATTACTTTACTCTGTGGTCAGTTCCGAAGGGCTTTTCAGCAAGATTCCATGCAAGTACAGCGCACACTCAGCTGTTCACTGTGGAGTTTAGTTTCACAGAGGATCACTGAACATCACTGCACAGTGGGCGCAAGGGTTACTTTGAGGTGAAAGAAAGTAGATATACTCCTCTACATGTGCCCAGATCACCCCCAAGAGCTGCGGTAAAGGGAGCTAATCAAACTTCAGTACAGCAAGTATGGCCATTTAGTAGCTTTGTTGCCAGGTTGCAGAGAAATGGCTGGTCCAGCAGTCCAACATATGGCTCTCAGAGAAAAACCTGCTTCTTTAGATCTTCTGTATCTGGAGTATACTCAAGTTCCTGGAGAAATCAATGAAAACACTTTAGTTTGATTAGTGCTGAAAGCAGTACTGATATGACAAACATGAATACACTCCCACAGCATACTAAATGCTCATTATTCCATAAACTAGAATTTTTCTCGATTACAGTGATTTTTTTGTTCAAAATGAAGCACTGCTTTACCATGGACACCGCTACCTTCTTTTGTCAGTTTAAAATCTTGAGGAAAGATGGGCCAACAAAGAAGTAATAGGAAGACTATGGGCTCATCTCCACTAGGGGATGAATCAGTGTTACAGCAATTGATCTACCAGCATTTAATTTAACAAGTCAAGTAAAAACCCACTATATTGAGTGCTGCTCACTCTCCTGTCAATGCTCGTACTCCAGCAGAATGAGATGAGTAACAGGAGTTGACAGGAGAGGTTTCTGTTGATCCCTTGCAGTGTGGAACCTGTGGTAAGTAGATCTAAGCTACATCAACTTGAGTTACATTAACTTAACTCAAATTATATAGATTAGATCAATCTTTCTTTGTAGTGAGTCTTTGACAGGAAATATTTTAAAATAAAGCCTTACCATGGTAGTGGTTTCACTAGCTCTCTAGTTGTGGATGGGAGCAGAAAGGATATAGCATACCCCCTTGTGGAATGAGAATTCCCAAATGCTGCAGAACCCCTGAGATTCTCACTATTGCCAGATGGAAACATTTAAAAAATGGTGAATCAGGATCTCCAGGTATCATGAGTTTGGCATAAAAATCAAAAGAATTAAAAAAAAATAAAAACTGAATTATCTTTATTAGTTATCTGGTTTGGGAGATTTTAGGTTTACATTTTCAAGCTCTGAAATGAGGCCTACAACTCTTTTTTTTAATGAAATGGGAGACACTGTAAATCACATGCCTCCAGGATCTGGAGCTTAACAAAATATTGCAAGAAGGCATGGAGTTCTGTACCAAATTTGGAGCATACCAGACTCACCATCTCCAACATCAATGTGGCATGACTAGCCTGCCCTCTACTGTCATTATGGAATTCCTCTGCAGAGAGTCTATTTCACATTCCCAAAGAACCTGATGCTGACAAGAGGCTAGGCTCACTTGGGACTACAGTGACTTTTAAGCAGATTCCTAACACTGCTAATAGGACACATACTTGATGATAACATATACTTGCCATGCCTCATTTGTGGATTCTGCAGACCGTGGTAGGGCCATCAAGGTGAGACTCCTCCTTCCATCCAGATGGGGGAGTTCAGGTGACAAAGAATCTTTCCAATTGTAGATTCATAGGGCAAGTTCTGGCCTTTGGCTCAGAAGAATATAGTTCTAGCAATCCCCCAAGTTGACAATGAAAGCAATGGCATTCCATCCAACCAGGCCTGATCTGAGAGTATTAAAGTAATCAATTCATTATTCCCTAATAAAACACATAATAAAAAAATTGCATCAGGAAAAATAAAAAGCCCATAATTTCACTTTTCCTCAAGAGAGTGTTTCATGCAAATCCCCAATTAACAGGCAGTTTTAAATTAGACAAGAACATACAGAAATAAGAGTCAGGATATTTTAAACTATTGCTTTTATTATAATTACATTGGAGCACAAATAAATAAGCACTGAATTATTGTAAAATATTGTCAATGCACTAAAGAAAGCAGAATCTCCAAACAACATCTTATTACTTCAGAAGTATCAAAGTACATTTAATTACATCGTACTTAAAAAAATCAAGTACAAAAATGAAAAGAAAATTAATGTGTATTTATACCGTGTACATAGAAATGGCTAATAATTTATGATTACAGTTATCCTCTAGCTACTCCTTACTCCTACACAATTTCAGGCACATGCCTGACATTTCTAATGAAATATGGAAAAAGCAATATGACATTCAGTTTTAAGATATCGGTAAACATATTACATTGGAATTAACACAGAATGGTTTATTCTTATTTAAAAACCCTGTAATTCAATAACGTAATGCCGTAGTCCACTAAAAGAAAAAATACCATTTTATACCATTTGCTTTAATTGGTTAAAAAGAGCAATAAAATTAAGCATACATTTGCTAATATACGTAAACACATTTTTAGTGCAAGAATAACAAGACCTGTGACTTTACTGTGCTTTTTTGAAATCACAGTGCACTTTACACAAATTGCTACACTATAATGTTTAACTTTAGGAATTTAAAGCAAAGTAAGTGCATACCAAACAATTTCATATGTACAGTCTTCATAAGTGTGTGTATATATGTGACCTGTATGTATATACAAATTGCATATTTATATAACTGCAACGTTAATGAGTCCATGTTGCTAAACATGATTATTCACCCTGTGATATAGAAACTGCGGAGACAATAGGGGATGTAAAAAATGTTTAGACAGCATTTTGATGGTATGATCTCTACAGTGAAGATGCAACTTTTACTTTCAGGTTGTGCACGCTGCCAAATGATAATGTGGCCAAATGGTTAGAGCACAAGACAGAGGTCTTAGCTCTGGTTTTGATTGAGCTTTGGCAAGTCACTCAACATCTATGACTGACCTTCTGTAAAATAAAATGTATCCTTCCTCACATAAGTGTGCAGTTTAATTCACATTTCTAAAGTGCTTTGAAGACAAGTGCTAAGTTATATTTTAATTTTTATGTGACATCAAACAACAATAATAAGCATAAATTATTGTTTGAATGGGATACAATGGTGGTTTGCAAGCATTTGAGCTAATTAAGAGATGTTAGTTACGGAGATGAACTATATAAGCAAAGCAGTAAATGGTTTTTGTGGTAGTTTAAATCGCCAAGCAAATCTGTTTATAACCAGAATCCTTCAGTACCATGATAATTGTTCCTGTAACACATCAATATGAAAAGAATACAGTAATTGTAATTTGTGCCTCTTTTAAAGGTTTTCCATGAGGTTGCCTTTGGAGGCATCAGTGTCAGTGATGAACAACTGCTCTTGGAGAATGTTTCCAAAGTGAATATTGCAATTTTTAAAATGACTAATTGCTTGAGGAAGAGGCCAACATCTACAAGAAGCATTCAGTGAAGTCTGTGAAAGGGTCCAAATTAAAAAAAAAATCACACACTTATATGAAAGTCTTTTCTTGGCACATAATTACCTGTACCAAGGAAGATGATGCATTTCATTATTACAAACATTTTCAGAGTAATGAACCTGTTATCTCAACACATTCTGCATGACTAGCAAGTCATTCTCTTTCCATCAGCTTCTGGAATATTGCAAAAATCTCTTGAGTTTTTATTCTGCACTTTTCTTTCTTTTTTTTTAAGAGTAAGCAGAATATACAATTGATGCCTGTTGGGTTAAATATTTATTTAAAAATTCCTTCACAATTTGTAGTTTTTATGTTTTCTATCACTTGCATTGTGAAGGTTTCTTTAAATTTTCAAATGAACTTTGCACCCATTCCAACCACCGTATATCTAACAACACACACACACATTTCATATACATATACATTACATGTAGACATATATATTTTTAAAATGTGTGTGTGTATGTGTGCCTATATGCGCCTATACATATACACATATATCATAATGTTAATATACATACACACACATAAACACACACACTTCTTTGTTTCTCTAATACAGGAATCCTCAATTTGGACATCAAAATATACATTAGTTAATTAGTTATAAAATATTTAAAAACTTTATTATTATTTCAGAGGCTGGAAAGAAACTACTACTGATAAAGCATTACTCAAACGTTAGCAATATAGACTACGAAAAAACCTACTAAAATTGGTTATTTTTGGTTTTTTAAGGTCAGCAACAATGCTCAGGGCATGGCCGCAATATAATTTCAAGGAAAAGCCAATATGACAATAAGTTCAAGAAACACATCTTTTCTTCTCAGAGAATATAATTTTAAAGGACTATGAAAGAAGAATTTTCATGCTGTCAAATTTCAGAAGCATAGATAGAACTTTTAATATACAAAATATATGTGATAGCATCATTTTATCACTCTGTGGCAATACGGACAGTGTTCACCCTAAAGCATTTCTTTTGGAAGATATTTTAATACACAGCTTTCACCCTCATATTAGCCATCTCTTTCTCCTGTTAAAACCAAGAGGTCATAATTCTTTGGTCATGACATAGCCTTCTGTTAGGGTGGGTGTGATGCCACAGAGGACTATGACCCAATTATGTGATCAGTCAGGAATAGGAAATGGATTACTTCAGAGAAAAGTGCTCTCTGGGTCTGATCCTAAGCCAAGTGAAGCCAATGGGCATCTTCCCACTGATGTCAATGGAGTTTGGGTCAGGCCTTTTAAAATAATGTTTTCCAATTTGCTATAGAGCCAACTAGGGACGTGTGGTATACTTAAAAAAATAATGTAAACAGATCTTGTTATCTTTACTTTCTGGACCAAAGACAAATGTGAACAGGAATTATGGGTGCATTGCCACTGTTTATCTTGCTAAACAATGGGTTAACTCATTATCATGCGATGTACAATTCTTAGTCACAGTGAACCATGGTCTCCTCTATTCAGCTGAATAAAAGAAGGAAGAGAGTCTATTTTAGACCTTTCTGCAGTAAATTTTGTTTACTTGGTTAGCCAAATGTAGCTTAGGAACTATCATTGGAGACTTAAATAATTGATTGACATAAAAAGAAGGGCAATTTCTAACAGTAAATATATCAAACATCTGATGCAGAACAACTCTTTTTTAATGCAATTTGGACATCCAAATTAAGCATTTTTATTTGCATTGTTTACAGTTTGTATTACTTCCTGCCAAAATATTTCCCAGAAGAACAAAAGCAACGGATGTCTCTAATGAACATGACTCTAGTAAACGTTTACAGCCCTAGCACCAGGTTGATTTGTACATTGTACTTGTTAAACAAAAGTACAACCACATGCTTTTGTACAGAGGCCAAATTTAGGCAGGGAAGATAATTAAAAATGACAACAACAAAAAGAGCATTAGGATACCACATATAAAATAGTTAATAAAACAATATAACAGTAATTATATTATATAGTAAAATTCTTCATAAACTTTTTAATTATATATTTTAAACAGTGTATTAGTTCAGGTGTTTTCAATAGATTGGCAAAATATTTACATTTTTAATATCTTCTGGATCCAAAAAAATCCTTAATAAATATGCATGCCTTAATCAGCTGGAATTTTAGATTTTTCTTCAGATTGACAGGTGAGCACCACATTGGTATGTTTTTCACTTGGTAGTTCGTCACCTGCAGATTAAGTTTTATGTGACAGGCATTGCCTTATTAAGAAAGGAGGCTACTTGTGCATCTTGCAACATTGTGGTGATTGCATCAGCAACAGTCCCATCATATCGCTGTGTCCCAGAAAACAGTTTGTTGTTTGGAATAAGGAGGGGGACTGTACTTCTTGGTCCCAGCATTCTTCTTCCAACTTGGCAAAATAGGCATGCTGTCCTGTTTGCAAAGTCCTTTCTCTGATTTCTGTCGAGCCTTTATTTCTTTACACAAACAACGCTTTTTCTCAATCATTTCCAGCATTGTATGGTCCCCATGCAACCACTGCATACATGTCACCTATCAAAAAGATAACGCACACAAATAACTGCTTAGCCAGAGATTATATTGAGAGTGTTGGCTCCTGGTGATTACCATGATGATTGTGGAACACTGCCAATGGTTTTAGGAGCACAACACCCTTATGTACTAAAAGGAATAAACACAAAAATGCACTTATATATATATATATATTTGACAGACATAAAAGGGAAATCAAAATAATCCTTGTTAATGTTGCAAACCTAATGCAAGCAAATATGGTAAATGCTTTTTCCACACACAGGACAGCTATTTATCTCTGGATTTTAAATAATAAAGTAAATCTTTAAAAGGCAAAATGATGAATGTTGAATGTAATGCAATGTTGAAAGTAAAAATTCTATCCACTAAAACCCATGTTTTATAATGCCTGCCAAATTCGATTTGCCACATTAGAACAGTGGCGTAAAATCTTCCAAATGTAAAGCTAAATATGTTAGGGGTTTGTTGTATGATTTAATGAATCCTATTTCAAACAGATTGTTTAACTTATCCTGTTCTCTGAAATGCTTCATTAACACAAAAGCAGAAAGTTGTTTTAAAACTGAACATCTTCACACATTTGCTCCATTGCAAACTATTATCCTGATCCAGCAAAGGAGTTAAGCATTTGCTTAGTTTAAAGCAAGGCTACTCAACTTTGGAAACCCCAGGGGACACAATGATACTCATAGCACATGCCGAGGGCCGCAACTTAAGTGTGGTTGCATATACATGCAGATATATGCAAATAGCTTTTTCACACTGACTGACATGAATACAAAGATTAAGGCAAGACTACACAACACACAGGCCCCATTTAAGTCAGTTCTGCTGCTCGATTTTCACCCATTATAGTACTTTTAATGAGCAATCACAGTTTAGGAATGTAACTACTAAAATGCATATCAACAGAAGACCATTACACTGACTACTTTTTGGTTTTGGCTCCCACCCGTGGACCACAAACAAACTGGTTGCGGCCCACGGGCCGCACGTTGAGTAGCCCTGGTCTAAACCTTCACTTCCCCCTAGTCTTCCAAAACCTCATTCTTTTTCCTTTGGAAGATTTCTGGAGTACTTGTGAGATGCATCACTGGACTGGGCCCTAAACAGCTAACTTTCATGAGAGTATTGTTACTTGCAATACTGGTTTAAAACATTTCAGGCAAAAGCATGTTCCTTTAAACTCACACAGCACATTCTTCACCCTGACTTTTGTCTCGGATAGGATTCTGTGCAGTACTGTTTTTGGAATGTAACCCTAAACCAGATTAGAGATGTGTTGTGCTATTGAATATTCTTGCTAACTTAGAACAGTACAGGTAACATATACAGGGTGCTTTTGCTAAACTGACTGAATTTAAAAGTCTGAGCTACAGTCTGAAATTAAAGCAATGAGCCTGATCCACTTTGCAATTTCTATTTGAGTGTATGGCTCTCACTTTATGTGTATTGCGTCATTCATGACAGACTCTGTATGGTAGATATCACAGTGAATCAACACAGTTCTTAGATTTGTTATGAGTGCTTTGATTCTGATCTTAGCTTAAGTCAAGTCAGTGGAGAGAGTCCCATTGACTACAATGCACTTTGGATCACAACCTGTGTGATTAAGAGGTTTCCTTGCCATTGCACCAAAGGGCAATATTTTATTACTTACACAGCAGTGTCTTATTTTTGTTGGATCCCTCTATGTGGCAGGCCATGTGCATAATCTGCACACAATTCATCAAATAGAATATCCAAAACACATGACTGTATACCAGCATCTGGCAGAGTTTGACCAGACACTTGAGAGAGACTTACAGGCATGCGGAAGTACCCTTTTCCTACCCCTCCAGCAAGGGAACAGGGCAAGCTCCAATATGAAATGATTATTTTACACTGTACTCATTAGTTGTCAAGCACTGGAAAGCCATTGTCAACACATAGTCTTGCTATGAAGAATAAATTGCATTCTTGTTTTCATTCACACACTCTCTCCATTGTGCTGTATTTGAGTTTTCCTGGTTCTCTTTCTGTTAATGGCTAACGACTTTGAGAGGCTTCAAAGGAACTGAAACTGAATCTTTACATAGCAAATGTAATAGCAAAATGTTTTTAAGTACATCAGAAACAGGAAACCTGCTAAACAACCAGTGGAGCCCCTGGAAAATCGAGATTCTAAAGGGGCACTCAAAGAAAAAAAGGTCATTGCAGAGAAACTAAATGAAATCTTTGCTTCGGTCTTCACGGCTGAGGATGTTAGGGAGATTCCCAAACATGAGCCATTATTTTTAGGTGCCAAATCTGAGGAATTAAACCAGACTGTGGTGTCACTAAAGGAGGTTTTGGAACAAATTGAACCAGACTGTGGTGTCACTAGAGGAGGTTTTGGAACAAATTGATAAACTTAACAGTAACAAGTCACCGGGACCAGATGGCATTCACTCAAGAGTTCTGAAAGAACTCAAATGGAAAATTACGGAACTATTAACTGTGGTTTACAATCTAACCTTTAAATTAGCTTCTGTACTTAATGACTGGAAGATAGCTAACATGCCAATATTTTTAAAAGGCTGTAGAGGTTATCCTGGCAATTACAGACAAGTAGGTCTAATGTCAGTACTTGGCAAATTAGTTAAAACTATACTAAAGAAGAAAATTATCAGACACATAGATGAACATAATTTGTTGGGAGAAAAGTTAACATGGTTTCTGTAAAGGGAAATCATGCCTTACTAGAGTTCTTTGAGGGGGTCAACAAACATACAGACAAGGGGGATCCAGTAGATATAGTGTACTTAGATTTCCAGAAAGCTTTTGACAAGGTCCCTCACTAAGATTCTTAAATAAAGTAAGTTGTCATGGGATAAGAGGGAAGGTCCTCTCATGGGCTGATAACTGGTTAAAAGACTGGAAACGAAGTGTAGGAATAAACAGTAAGTTTTCCGAATGGAGAGGGCTAACTAGTGGTGTCCTCTAAGGGTCCATACCGGGACCAATGCTATTCAACATATTTATAAATGATCTGGAGAAAGGGGTAAACAGTGAAGTGGCAAAATTTGCCAATGACACTAAACTGCTCAAGATAGTTAAGACCAAAGCCGACTGTGAAGAGCTTCAAAAAGATCTCACAAAACTAATTGATTTGGTAACAAAATGGCAAATGAAATTTAATGTTGGTAAATGTAAAGTAATGCACATTGGAAAAAATAATCCCAACTATATATACAATATGATGGGGATGAATTTAGCTATAACTACTCAAGAGCGAGATCTTGGGGTTGTTGTGGATAGTTCTCTGAAAACATCCACTCAGTATGCAGTGGCAGTAAAAAAGCAAATAGAATGTTAGGAATCATTAAACAAGGGCTAGAGAAGAAGACAGAGAACATCATATTGCATCTATATAAAGCCATGATACACTCACATCTTGAATATTGCATACGGATGTGTTCGCCTTATCTCAAAAAAGATATCTTGGCATTGGAAAAGTTTCATTAAAGAACAACAAAAATGACGGGTTTGGAACAGCTCCCATATGAAGAGAGATTAAAAAGCTGGGACTTTTCAGCTTAGAAAAGGGGAAACTAAGGGGGGATACGATAGAGGTCTATAAAATCATGACTGGTGTGGAAAAAGTGAATAAGGAAAAGTTATTTACTTGTTCCCATAACATAAGAACTAGGGGGTCACCAAATCAAATTGGGTATGTCTACACTACCACCCTAGTTCGAACTAGGGTGGTTAATGTAGGCAACTGGAATTGCAAATGAAGCCCGGGATTTGAATTTCCCGGGCTTCATTTGCATATTGCCGGGCGCCGCCATTTTTAAATGTCCGCTAGCGCATCTTGAGTACTGCGTACAGAAGTGCTCGCCTCATCTCAGAAAAGATCTCTGGGCATGGGAAAAGGGCAACGGAAAGGATGAGGGGTTTGGAATGGTTGCCATATGCAGAGAGATTAAAAAGACTGGGACTTTTCAGCTTAGAAAAGAGGAGACTGAGGGGGGATATGACAGAGGTCTATAAAATCATGGCTGGAGTGGAGAAAGCGAATAAGGAAAAGTTATTGACTTGTTCCCATAACGCAAGAACTAGGGGTCACCCAATGAAATGAATAGGTAGCAAGTTTAAAACAAACAAAAGGAAGTTTTTCTTCACAGCGCAAATGATTAGTCTGTGGTACTCCCTGCCAGAAGAAGTTGTGAAGACCAGGACTTTATCAGGGTTCAAGAAAGAACTAGATAAATTCACGTAGGTTAGGTCCATCAATGGCTATTAGCCAGGATGGGTAGGAATAGCTAGCCACTGTCAGAGGCTGGGAATGGGTGACAGGAGAGGGATTACTTGATGATTTCCTGTTTCTGTTCATTCCCTCCGGGGCATCTGGTATTGGCCACTATTGGAAGACAGGATACTGGGCTAGATGGACCTTTGGTCTGACCAAGTATGGCCGCTCTTATGTTCTTTACATCCTAAAAAGTAAAACGCCAATTGAAAATCCCTAAAGATAGAAGTGGTATTTTAGAATTTGTCAGCATATTAGTAGCTACACAACAGCTCTGGAATTACTGTAGTACTGGAGATAAACTCAGGAATAGAGAATGCAACATTATTATTTAGCCACTCTGTGCCTCAGTTTTCTTTGTTTGAAAATAGGGAGGTAATGATATCTACCCTCCTTTGAAAAGTGCTTTGGGATGTATGAGTGAAAAAGCCTTCTATAAAAGTTAAGTAATATTGCTATTGATGTATTGGGTATTTGGCTACCTTGTTTCATCTTTCTTCACATTACTCCATCTTGCTCATAGAGTGACTTTTCACTGTATCATAATGCATATCATTAAACAAATACAACCAAAATATGTGATTCTTAAAAGAATGGCAATGTAATCTAGAGGTTACAAGGAAAGGGTTGGGAGGCAAGTGCTGTGGGTTCTATTTTAGCTGTGTTACCAGAGTTCTGCCTGATCTCGTGACACTTAAGTAACCCTAATGCCTCAGTTTCCCCA